AAAAAAAAAAACTGGAAGTCGAACTATGGCTTAAGTGGTACTATTCTAGCCTTGAGTGGAAATAGCTAAAATACAGATTCTGAATTTAAGCCCCAGGAAGTAGCATACACACACAAAAATAAAAAGTAACTAAAAACATATTTTAAATATTCTCAATACAAGAGAAAGTATGTGGCATAATACAAATGTTAATTAATTCAACCTTACTATTATACAATGGATATACACACACACACACACACACACTTATCTCAGCAAATTTTCTATTCCAAAAGCCAAAAAGCAAAATTCTGTATATTAGGTGTTTTGATAGTAGCAGCCTAAAGAATTAAGGCAAGATTTGTTAGCTTTGTGGGCTTTGTTTGGCTTTGAGAACTTGTATGCATGTGCAAGTAGGCAGAAAAATTATAATACTCAACCAGAATAGAGCCCATTGCTAGAATATACACCATTGTCACTGCAGTATAATACTTCTAATCTAAAACCTATAGTTTCTCTATAAATTATTTTCTTTTTATACAATAGTCATTCAAAGCTATTTGTTATTGACCATCATGTAAATGAAGTTGCTCATCTATACTGAAATCAGTAATGAAACTTCCAGTTTCACAGTTGCTAAATCATTAGAGGACAACAAAGATAACTCTGGAAATAATAATGTAAATAATAGCAGATTTACACATATTTGAAGTTTTTTAGAGATTTATAAATAAAGCCATTTGAGAAGCAATCTGCAATAAATTGTAGCATCAGTTTAATATGAAAACTGGTTTTAAATTTTACAAATTAATATTTAACATTTGAATTGTTTAAATTTACATAAACTGCTTTTTTATTATAATACCTTTCTCCTAGAATTCATTCTTGTACTTAATTAAATCTTTTTTGGCAGTTTTTAGTTTCAGAATTCCATGCATGTTCACAGACATCATTTTCTGTACTGTAAAGCATTTGTTTCTTGATTTGCAGAGTTGAAGCATTCAATTTAAGTCATTAGCTAAACAGAAGTCCTCAGTTTATGCTAATATTGTTTTGTCATAATGTCAATCAGAACATATTACAGAGTGACACAATGGCAGTGAATTTTATTGTCATTAATCAGTGAAAGCTTTGGGCTCTTCTTGGCAAAGAAGAGAGGTATGGGTTATGGAAGAGGTGCGAATTTTATGAAGCTTTAGTGGCTAGTCCCACTTTTTCCCTTGAAATGCCCTCAAGTGCTATTTAAGCATAACTCTATAATCATAGGTAGAAATGGAGGCTAGATTGAATTTAAAGATAAGGAAATTGAAACTAAAGTTTAAGTAACTTATTGAAGGTGTCACAGCTTGTTAAGGCAAGCCCTTGACTAAAGGCCAAGTTTGCTACATACTTTCTCATTTTCAAATGCCAAGATTTAAAACATGAAGAGGTACAGTGTGTGCATTATGTTTGCATCTTTCCAACAGAATAGTTTGTCTTGTCTCACAGGGAAACATTATAGAAATCCCTAACCTAAGAATTAGGAGGCAAATTTTGTTGTATCTTATAAAGTAGTCAATTTGTGAATAATTGCCACGTTTACAAATTAGAGATTGCTTGTACTGGCAAATAACAGAGAATAGTATTGACAGAAAGTCTGATAATAGAATTTAACATGTTAGATGCTCTAAGGTAAATATGGCATTTGTAAATTGTCTTTAGTTATTTTTTTGTTAATTCATTTTCTCCTCTTTGATCTATAGCAAACAAACATTTCAGCACTTCAGGATTCCAAGAAGCTTTATTTCCCTTGATGATTTATTTGCTATTTTCTTACTAATAGACTTGTGGAGCATACATATTTACCAAACTAGAAAATAATAGCATTGTTTATAAACTGTAAAAGTGACAGTAAATAAAATCTGTAGTACAGTGTCTTAGTCCTGTGGCTATAGTGTTTTAGCTAAAAATATAGTGTGAAGGTTTGGGTATGGTTGGGCACACCCAAACCTAGCTGCTTAGGAGGCAGACAGGCGAATATAAGTTTGACGTCAGCCTGAGCAAAATTAGCCCAGGTTTGAAACACTATCTCAAAAACTAAGAATATAGCTCAAGTAGAGTGCTTGCCTCATAAACTTAAGGCTTTGCATTCTATCTTTCAGTGCTCCAATGAATATGTATATATGTACATACCTATGTATGCATCTATATAATGAAAGGATTAAAAACTAGACTTGAAAGTGTCTTTGTAGGTAGAAATTTACTAATGTGGATGTGCATGTTTAGGTGATGAAACACAAATAAGAGTAACTTTGGCAGGCTATTCCTTATCTAGGTCTAGTTACTCTTCAGAATCATTAAAGAAAACCTTTTCTATCTCTAACTGCTTGGTAACTTTAATATCACAGTAATATTCACTTTGAATTGCAGTTTCAGGTCTAAGTAAACCTAGATTTATTTATTTTTATTTCATCTTATTTTTATTCCAGTACCAAGGCTTGTACTCAGGACCTCAAGTTTTCACTCAGCTTTCTTGGTTTCT